TTATGAAAACACTGATTATACGTATAAAAATATCCTAATTTATTGCATTAAATTAAGAATTTTGCAATTTTGTTTACTGCTTATACCAAAATGGCAATCTAAATAAATTAAAAATGTTCTGTGCAGCACTGAGTCGTGTTTATAGCTGCTGATTATAAGTCATATCATAGTGTAAAACATGGACATAACACATAATATACATACTGAGAGTGAAAAAATTGATTATAAAAATAAAAAAAAACTTATTTTTTTGCATTATATTAAGAATTTTGCAATAGTTTTACTGCTTATGTCAAAATTGCAATAAAAATAGATTAAAAATGTACTGTGCAGCACTGAGTCGTGTTTAAAGCTGCTGATTATAAGTCATATTAAAGTGGTAAATCATGGCTCAGTTATGATTTCTTTGGTATATTTCTAACACGTATCTCTTCTTCGCACAATACAAATGATGTCATCTCATTTCCCTCAAATTGCAAAGAGTCTGTTGCATGTTTTTTAATCTTTGAACCTTTAATTGAGTTAGCAGAGATTAGCACGCACAACAGTCTGCTTATGAGCCTGGCTGAGATAAAAGAGGAGGGGGAGAGAGAGAGATGGAGGGCGGCTGATCGACACATGTTTGAGTCGGTGTCACCTCTTAATATAATTTGGCACATGCTGCTCTGTGCTTCTTCTGGTGTCGAGTTTCTTTTAAGTGGCTAATGCCTGCGGTGGGTGAGCACCCACGGGGGACAAGAGAGGTCAGTGTTTTGGGTGGAACGTGTGGAGAAGGTGTGGGGGATCTTCCTGTCATTCACCACTCATTCCTCTGAGCCCCTGCTGACCTTTGACCCCTGAGCAGACGATGCAACAACCTCAACCGAGTCGACTAAGCTCAGCAGCAGGCGGTGTAACAAAAAATATGCTCATTTACTAAATCATTGAAGAAGAGACCAGACAGTCAGAAAAATAATGTGTTGTGACTGAGATCAGATCTATTTTAGATTTTTAAAAAATATATAATTTAAGAAGGAAAAATAAAAGTGAACATCTTTTTTTCTGGATTGTTATGTGAACACGTGTTTGTGTAGTTGTGCAGAGTGATGCTCCATATGATAGTAGATAGTTTTCTTGATTTATTTAATAACTACCCTAATCCTTTTTTTTCAGATTTGACATTAAAATGTGAAGTTTAAAGGTTAAAATGTTCTAGTCTGTGTTTGTAGTACCTTTGTAGACTGAATAGCATCAGCAGATCTCAAATCTGCAGGCTTTGGCATATTATCTCCTGCTGATCAATACAGGGTTTGCTGTAAATGGCAGCTTGCAGGGTTATAACACCAAACGTTGTCGTATTTATCAATCTGCTACACAATTAATTCCATGCAAATTAGGAAGAGACTTTTCTGCCCTCATCAGGTCAAACTGTAAAAGAGAGGGACTGTATCAGAGCAGCTAATCATATTCAGGGACACCACTATGAGTATGCATGCCAACTAAACTGACAAAACTAGAAGCAAGCAGGTCCAAGTTTAGTGAGCAGGAGAGCTGCTGAGCTCAGAGAAACCAACCACATGCACAGTCTATACCTGCAGGTGCTCAAAATACAGCTGCAAACTTGAACTTGAAGTGAATGTGGCACGCCAGAGCTGTGAAAATGTGCAAAAGGATCATATATATGTGCATGCAGCTCTCTCCTATCCACCTGTCAGACTTTTACATGTTTGTGCAACCTTTGTTATCAAAGTGGTGCCATGTTGGTGCGTGCAGGAAAATCGTCTCATGGGAAGAGGAAAAGCAGGCGGCACACTTTACGTGCTGATGGCATTCAAGTTCCCATTTAGAGTTAATCAATCACAACATATTCGGGTGTCTCTAAATATCTGCATGCAGACACAAAATGCAATCAACCCAGGGTTAAAGTTTCAATTTAAGCAACAAACCTGCATTAAAACCAATCATCAGGACTTGAAAAAGCATGCAATTTTTCTAAATCTGTATTATATTGTTTCACTTGATGTGTTAACAGTCAGTGAATCATAGAAAAACCGGTTACTATTTCGCTTACCTTTGCAACCATGGACTATTTACGGTGAATCTGGCACTTTCCAGAAGCTGTTTTTTCCTATTTGCATTTTTTAAAGCTGAACAAGATTGCTTCTCAAGTTGCCAGCTGCACTGTTAACAAAGCAACATATGGATAAGGACAACTTATTTATCTTCAACTGTTGGATACACCTAAATACCCAAAGAGTCTACTGTCACTCCCAGTGAACATATTGTCATCAGACGTTAGCCATCTGTCTCAATATTAACAAATCAATATTGTGAGATATCATCGAATGGGAAGCTTGTTTTCAAGATACATTATGAGAAATTTCTAATCAAAATATTTGCACTTACGATAATGATAAAACAGGAAAAATTAAGCTGTTAACAATAAACTGTTCTCTCTCTTTTCAGGTGTCAGTTGACTGTAACTCAAACTTTCCATCTCCTTTTATTCGTTCACTTTCTCTCCTCTTACCAGTAGATGTAGCAGGAGCCTTCAATCAGCCTCACGATGACACGGCCTCTCCATATGCTCTTTCTCTGCCACCACACAAACGCACACAAAGACACACACTTGCACGTGCGCTTTGCCCAACTGGCAGACATCTGCAGATAATCATTGCCCGGTCTCTGCAGAGAACTTGTGATATTTAATATTTCCTCACCACTTGAACAAATAAGCTCTAATAACTGCGAGGTACTTGACCACAGGAGGAGAGGAGATGTGCAGCATGAAAGAAACTATGTGCACTTTGCCTCAATCTGCGTCGTTTAACTTTTTATTTTTTTGCATTTCTTTTATAAGAACCAAAGCCTCACCACCCACCAACTCTCTGACATCCCTGAAACCACAAAAACTTAAACAGCGGACAAACGTCATAAATCACTGCGTAAAAGAAGATAAAAATACTCACAAACACCTCTACGCACACACACATTTACACAAACACACACACACTTACAGCTGATGCGCTGCAGAGGTGTTGCAGAGCTGCAGAGGATCGAGAGACGTTCACAAAACACTCATTAACTTCCTTTACAAAGCCGCCTTTGTGACCTGCCAGACCCTTGGCTACTCTCCACTGCTCTCTCTCTTTCTCTCTTCCGCACACACACGGTTTTAGCTCGATGAGAAAGTACATAAACACTAAATGGGATTAAAGTCTAAAGTGTTGCAGTTACCTGGATATTTTCTCCAGCAGGCTCCTTTCGATTATGAAGGACTCTTACCAGAAAAGAAATAAACTATGTTTACAGCAAACACACCAGCTAATGTTTGACCCAAACATGCCGAGCCCACCCTGCAGGAGTCAGGAGAGAATTAAACTTATTATTTTTAGGGACCTCCTATTTATTAAACTGGTTACCGTGGAAACAGTCAAGCCAATAACGGAGTCTTGGAATCGCACCTCAGCCCTCTGAGATGTTCGCAACCCCTGAATCAACTGGACATGTTATGTTTTATTTCCTCATAAATTACATATTAGACTAATCTAATACAAATTATGCTCTCAGCGCACAGTTTTCTTTCCAGTGGATGACAAAGAAAATAAAATCCCAGTCAAAGTTCAATCAAAAATGGAGTAATAAAACGAAAATGAACAATTAGCACCCTGAGGTGCTCCACGTCTTCGATTGTGGTCAAAGTAAAACATACTTTATTAAAGTCAGTGTAACTGTATGAAGTGTCCCTCTGCTTCCTCAGATGTCCACGCCAAGTCTCGGCACTCTGAGGAGGTTACATCAGTGCCTGTGTGGCAGGAACAAGGCGGATCAAGAAGAGTTAGTTTTTGTTCATTTAAGATCATATTTTATTCTGCTCTTTATTTTCCTGTAAGTTATTATATTACTGAACTGACAAAAGCACTGGTTAAGACCTGGGAACACAGTTTAAAACCAAGTTACAATCAAAGATGCTGTTCATGAGGGCATGAGGCACAGGTTGTTGGATAATCACAGATTTAGAGCTGATTATCAAAATCCCTAAATGTTGCAGTCAGACTATAAAACTGAGACAGATATTAAACAGATGAGTTTGTCTCATAGTTCAGTAATAAAATAACTCATAGAAAAATAAAGAGCAGAGAAAATATGATCCGGTGCTTTAACCTTCTTTGTGTGCAGAGAGCTGGTTAGTGCTTGACTCAAGTACGGCCGTGATGGGAATTTATACTACGGCACCAGCGACATTATTCTGCTCGTAATATCACAAAATAGGAGATAGAGTTAAATCCTGAGCTTTTTTAAAGAAACTGTTGTGGAGAGGTGTATGAGCAGGAAAGTGAGTGCAATCCTCAGCAACTCTCTGCACGGGACTTAGTCTGCCTCGATGAGCAACAGATCGGAGCGTCTCCTCTCCTCCTTACGGTGTAGGACAGAGCGCTTAAGGAGATCCTTCACTCCTGCTTTGTTTTTATAATGATCATTGTTGATCTCAATGTGTTGGGGGGTTTAGTCATGGGCTGTTACAGTGTTTTTAAATATATTTATTGCCTTTCTTTATCTATCTATCTATCTATCTATCTATCTATCTATCTACCTACCTACCTACCTACCTACCTACCTACCTACCTATCTATCTAAGAAACTTTTAAAGTAATTTTTGATAAGAAATCATCTGAGTTTGACAACATTTATGACTATTCTCTGTTTAAATGTATTTTTTTGATTCCAAGCTGTTGGGCTTCTACAACAGAACATTTATAGGAGCCAACTTGTGCGCAGAGGAAACATACTGTCTGTATTCTGAGACATTTTATGACCAAAGGTTCTTTGACTCATCAAGAAAACCAGTACAATTTTATTATGACAGGAGTTATAGTAAAAGCTATAAAATATGACCCGAGTAGAAAAAAGAAACACAAGAGGAATCATCCTTTAAAGAGGAAATTGTTTCGCTTTACAACATCTGAATCAGCAGATTCTGACGCTACGAGCAGCGTTACAAAGCTGTTTTTTCCACAGTGATGAATTTACCACACGGCTCCTCTTCCTGCTGCCCTCACATCAAAGTGAGCGACCTGCTCGAATTTCAGCGACCAGGAGGAGCCAGAGCGGCTCAGCCTGGTTCACTTCCAGCAGATGAGCGGAGAACTTTGAGGAAGAGGTCAGCGGCACACCGGGGACTCCCGGCAGCAGCTTTGCCAAAGACCACCAAGGTGATCGGTGGACCAAATGACAAGCCACATTCTTCTCCTCCCTCCCTGAGGCCTGAGAAACAGAGAGGGTGCTGGGTGAAGGAGGATGAAGACGGCATGTTTCACCTCACTCTGGAGTTTGTTCTGTTGGTCTGTGAGAAGGTGTGAGGAGACATCTTCATCCTTTCTGCGTCTCACATTCAAAACACTCACTGTAGCTGAAGCTAACCGAGGAGAGGTCGGCGTCAGAGTGCTAAATACTCTATAAAAGGAAGACTTGTTAAGAAAGACTTCAGGAAAAGAGCAGCAGAGTCAAGAGAGCAAAGAAGTGGGGAAACAACCTCCATGATGGATGATGGAGGAATAAGTATCTGGGTTGGGGAGGGAAACTTCTAATTATGAGAAAGGAGGCACATGCTCCTTCATCCCGAGGGGGCTCTCAGAGCCTCGGCCTCATGAATCGAATAGTGTGGTGAGTAGTTAAGGGATGGACCAGAAGTGGCACCTCCGCCAACCACAGCGCACACGCCACCTCGGCTCCTTTTACCACATGCAATCGCTCCCCTCAGCGTGCCGCGACCCATCACATAATCAGGCCCTTCTCGAATCTGAATACAACCCCCCCTCTCATTTATTGCCTTATAAAAAGACTTTGGTCAGTTTTTGCATCTCTAAAACGAGCACGCTGGTTTCCCCCACATAGTGCTCCATTCATCATGAGCTGGTGCGGGGAGACCTACTGCTCTTACATTTCCTGTAATTGGAGTGGCAGGGGTCCAAACGTTGGCATTAATATTTAAAGAAAGTAGCAAAAATGAATTATTTCCCGACAGTTTCTCGTCTTTGCCAACTGGTATTTGTGTAATCAGTTATGTTTCAGCGCAGAGGTGTCTGCTCATGTCTTTGTTTGGTTACAAACCAATTAGTCACCTTTTATACTCCCGACTTCCTCTCAGGTCAAGAGGCCCCTGCGGCGCCCTAAATGCTCTCCACAAGCTTATGAGGCTTGGTGGTGAATCTGGTGCCTGTGAGGCATAACTCTCCCTGTCAAAACTGGGAGGGAAAGCATGATCCTTCGCCATGGAGTCCCACGCTACTCCGCTGAAATAAGCCAAGAGGCATGAGGTCATTTTTTGCAGTGTTCGCCTGCATTGTGGGTTTTAATAACTGCACATAAGTTGTGCGCTTGAAGTTTGTTAGCATGTTCGGTTTTCAGTTTACATGAGCGGTAGGTGCCAGATCCTGAGGATAAAGTTATCTCATTATCACCACAGGGCAACTTGGTTTTGCAAGAACTTGATGTTGAACTAAAAATTGCAAACTTGGACATGTTCCTTCTCTGCTTGACGGCTTTCTCAGAGTGGGCCGTTGTCCAACACCTACATAAAGTCACTTCTTGGCTTGTGTTACAGAACATATTGACAGGTGAAGCCACAGGTTTGAAATTTTGGCCAATCATATGTTTGGACAAATCTGAACCTCATTGAGCGTTTCTGTTTCTGGGTTAAGTAAAAACACGATCCAATGGTCATTTACAGTCATGTTGTCTTTAGATGTGCGTTGCTAAACGCGGACTCTGAGGACGTGAAAATGAACTTTAAAAAGGGGGGAAAAAAGACTAAAAGGGGGCTTTTGATGGAAAGAAATGCACCCAGCTGTGAGCTGGACCTGACACATGTGGTGTTTAAATAAACTTGTATCTCCTGCCAGGTTTTCAACAAACTATTGGCTAAAGGGGAGATTTTCTTTCAAATGAGAATTTCCTCACAGATCTTGAGATAGCAGACTTCATGATAATAAGAAGTGAAAGCTCTTAAAATATTACAGGTAAGATTTGATGTAGGTGTTGAATTTATTTATGATGAACAGAGTCCTGCTTTGTTGAGTGAGAGTCAACCAGTCACCATAAATATTTCATTAAAGTACGTGTCCAATCAAACATATATAGGGTATATGTGCAATGTTAAAAACTGCCTGAGATGGTGTGAGAATCCTGACATTTTTGGCGTCTTTTACTGACGTTAGTGGAGATTTCAAAAGGTTTCTTCTTCTGTGGTAATAAAGCTTTGATTAATGCAGCTGCAGCAGCCAGAGCATTTAAATAATTGAAGCTGTTTATATTTCTCTTACGCTCTCATTATGCACTTACACATTTACATATTTGCACGAAAAGTTCAGCCGGCAAGATTAAAGTCACGTTCAAAGCTTTTTTTTATTGGCAAATTGGAATAAATAGCTTAACTCTTGACCATCACACGCATTAAGATGTTTTCTTTTTCAGCGCAGTCAATCATCTTCTCTGACATACAAAAACAGAGCGGGACACTTAGCAAAGAAAACCTCGTTTATAACACGCTTCACTGCATATATTGCACATATTTAAGAAACACTCTGGGATGTTGTGGGACTGTTTCAAGAGGCACTTGAGGAAATGTTTGCTTTAATTAAAGGAATGGAAAATTAACACTTCAATTATCTCTGGAAACAGAGCCCTCCTCATGACGGCGAAGTTCAACTGCTGCCTGATAACGTGGCGTATAAAAGGGAGAAAGAAGCAGACAGCCTGATGTGTAGAATTACTCCACCAGAGTGAAAGGATGTTAAGAGCATAAACCATGGCGGTGGGGTGAGTCAAATGACTTTTTGTCAGTGCAGCCCGCTTTTTAAGAGTGATAGAACGCAGGTTTCCTCTTCTATTCATACACTGTGAGTTTTGGATGCTGCATGCTACATGGAATATTTGTGTGGGAACATCATCACGGTTCAAATATATTGGCAATGGCAACAGGGCATAAGGGCTTCCCTATTTGTGCCACATGATGAGAGGGTGTTTCTTTCTATGGCGCCAGAGGCCTTACGGACCGTTAGCTGATTAAATGTGCGATGCCGTGTTTCGTGCTGACAGTGACCATGCTTGAATTTGGTGGTGGGGTCAGTGAGGGGAAATGATGAAGCGTAGGCGTGGTGTGGAGGATGTGGGAGCGATCCTTTGTCTATTTACCTAAATGACTGTTTTGGTTTGTGTCAAATGGAATTGTTTTATACATGAAACTTGCACACAGTGAAGACTCTTTAAAGGGTCAGTTCAATCAAATAAGAACATATACTCTATTTCTAGCTGACAAGCAGACTGTTTTACTTCTATTATAACAAGACCCTACCACACTAAAGACGATTTAAACTTCAATTCTGGCACTTACTGCAGGGAAAAATGATTGATTAGGTTCTTTTTCAAAACCTTTTGTTGTTGAAATTGGTGTTTCAAACAAACAAAACATCTTCCAACTCAAACATCCTCCTATATCACCCAATTAGCTGCCCTCATCCAATCAAAATCAGAAGAAGAGCTGGTGCTAACTGTATTATCACAGGACTCAACAACATCAATTGATGCACAACAGATTTAGTTCAGCAATTTTGTCCAAAAAATGGGGATTTTAAAGTAATATCATCTTATTTACAAGCCCTTCACCTTTCTATGCCGTTGTTGGAGTGTCTTAGCTTTCGTGTGATGGTGCTGGTCAGAGGAGAGAAAGTCCTCTTGTCTTGACGTAGAGTTTGGAGGACTGTACTTCACTGATTGGTGTCCGACACTTCTTATGAGGCATAACTGCGCCAAATCGATCCAAGACTAATTACGTTTGTAGTTTAACATGCTCACTTTGTGTGGGGTGTTAGAGACAGCTTGCTACAACTCATAGTTAGGGCTGTTAAGTCATAGTCAACTGGTCGACTTATTGGTGGATACGTGCTGAGTCGACCAAAATTCTGATTGGTCAACTCAGATTTTTGCTTCTGCATCAATCTATGGTTAATTTCATCAGGAAGAACATACCAAGTGCTAATAAGGGTGTTTTTAGAGCACCTCCATTTCACAGGTAACAGCCTGTCTCAGAACATCCCCCTTGTTTTCACCATTTTGTATTCGCCCAACCCACTGGAGACCGGCTGGAGACAGGGAGATTGAAGGGTGTCCACGTTAATTAACGTCCAGTGGTTTGCTTAATATTTAGCCAATTAGTTAATTCTTGGTCGGAAATTTCAGGGTTTTAGTCGACCAAGAATTTCTTTGGTAGATTACAGCGCTACTTGTAGTGCGACCAGCAATAAAGCTTCAAGAGAACAGTCAACAAACAACTGAACCTTTTGGTCTTTTGTTTCTACAACGATTGTTTTGATCGTATCACAGTGCCATGAGCAACAGTTTGAGTTCAGTTGTTGAATAATCATAGATTTTCCAATTTTTTTTCTTATTTTTGGAGCTTCCTGAGGACTTTTTTTCGACTAAGCTCGGAAGATTTTCCAAAGTTCCTGACTTTGTAAACCTCAGCTGACTATAATGAAACCTAAGGGCCCATTTAAAACCAGCTCAGCGCTCTGTTCTACTTATAATAAGGCTAACAATTAGGCTTAAAGGGACTGTCTTCTTCCATTGGCAAAGACTGAACCAGTATGACGTTAATATGTTGCCACATGAAAAAATCATGACAAAGTTTGTAGGTGGATAATTGGGGTATACCAAGCGTGTAAGGATGCCACTGGAGACTGTGGTTCTTCCAACAGTCAACATGAGTTTCGTTCAACCATAAGGGCGATCTTTTTTCTGACATTCACCGAGTAGTTTTTATTGCTTCAACTCACCAAACCTTAACCATAGCAGCAGCAGATCAGAAAACTCTCCTATGTGAGTCATTTTCGATGGAAAATCTTCCCAAATACATCACAATCATGTCCTCTGAGCCCAGCAGACTTGATTTTAATCAAGACGACATTTGGAATATTTTAAAACATTTCGTCTTTGTGCAAATCCAAAAGGATCTCGATGACTCACTACACATGACAATAAATATCATGTCCCAAAACCCTGCTGACAACAGCCGTCATCTTCAGTCTAGGAGCGGCGTACGATATTTATTAGCCACCATCATGTTTTCCATATGCAGTGTTTAACTCTGATTCCCCGAGAAAAAAAGGGCCATTTATGAGCATAAGACGTCATTTCAGTGGCATTATTGTGATTTATATTCGAGGAACAGTCATGGTAGATATAACAAAGCAGAACTGATAAAACACTCCCATTGTTCTCCAAAAGGACCAATCATCTCCTACATTAACTCTGCATGTAGAGCTTGCAAAAAAAAGCATTCCTCTTTTGGGTGTACACTGGA